GGTTCGGCGCGTAATGGACGACCCGGTAGCATAACGGAAAAGTGTACCGACGAATCAGTGATCTTGCCAGCACTGACAATATTGCCACAACACGTGACATACAACGTGTCCTGAAGCAACATGTAGAGATCAGTCAGGAGACAAGTAGACGTCGATTGAAAAAATATGGGCTAAGTTTAGTCTGCCAATGTCAAAACCACTTTTAACAGAAAAACATCAGCAGAAACGTCTCGGATGGGCTCAAGCTAGACGTAATATGGATTGGAATCGAATAATTTTTCCTGATGAGACCGCTTTACGTCTAAACCAGCTGAAATGGTGTGTCTACAATTTTTCCTGGAAAGAGAAAAATTTTTCGAACAGTAAAATATCCAGTAAATGTGAACATTGGGGGATGCTTCTCATGCAACGGGTTTGGTCGTATTTGCTGTTTCCGTGAAAATCTCAAGGCTGACTTGCTTTGTATGATTTATAAGCGTTATCTTTTGTCGATTGCCACAGACCACTTTGGACGAAATTCAACAAACTGGGATTTAAAAGAAGATAATAATTCAAAGCATATATCTCAACTTGCAAAACAATGGAAAGCGCAATATGGAGTCCAACAAATCGATTGGCCATCAATGTCACGAGACTTGAAACAGATCGAAAACTTTTGGAAGCTTCCCAAAATAAATTTAACAAAGAAAAATCTTCGAACTTACAAGTCATTAGTTCCGGTAATAAAAAAAAGGAATTGAAAGCCTTTCCATGAGATGTAACAACGGATCTTGTGAGAAGTATGAAAAATCCTATTTTTAATGTTATTTCTAACAAAGACGACTTCGTTATGTATTGATAATCAGAACATGAAATAACCTTAAAGAATCCATGAAAGTATTCAATTATTTGTTCTCATTGAAAAGTTCAGAGGGGCTGAAGACTTATGTGGAGTACTGTAAAAAATATTCTGACGGTAAAGAGATTTAAAATCACATATTCTATATTGATTTCCTTTTGTTAACATCAAATAATATCATCTTTTCGATACTTACCTCCTTTGTAGACTAAGAATGAAGTGTAATTGATCATCTATAAAGATCATGGCAGCACACAAATCGACACTTAAATTTTACTACCCGTGCTGGTAAACATGTCGGTTTTGTACAAATGTTCTGTGCAAAAGGAACAAACTTTCAGATGTTTGAACTGCCTAAATTTATCACCAATTTTTGCCCGAAATCTCAATTTTTCATTTACGTTTTCAGCTAAATTTCAGGTTTTGAGTCAAATTTTATGCAAAATAGTTTTTAACAAATAAGAGAAGCGCAAGAATAGCTCAAAACCTTGAAGTTTAGCTAAAACAGTGCATACCAAAATGAGATTTCATGCGAAACTTGGTGTTAAATTTAGATAGTCCAAAAATCTGAAAGTCTGCTCCTTTTGTATCGAAAATCAGTACAAAAATCGACATGTCTGCTTGCTTGTGTAGGGTGTGGGTGTAGGTGTAGAGAATAACTACACCAATAGTCATACGCACATCCACTGACAGCCACACCACACGCACACCACACTCACACCCTTCTATCCTTCAGGTTTGAACGAATTTCTAATGCACATTAGTGATTAAACAAACAGTTTATTATCTGAAGCAAAATATGAACGGTCGAATGTTATCTTTGCAGAAGAAAAGATCATGTGTATACAAACTTTTTACTCTTTTATCAATCAAAACTTTTTCGGAATTCTCAGCATATAAATCGTTTTCTCTAAAAAAAAATATGTAACATCTCGTGTAATATAGTTAATGATTAAAAAGACCTTTTTTTATTGGTCTGAATTAGAATATAATAATAAGATTTAATCAAATGTCACTTGAAATAAGATGTTGTCTCTTTGCCTTACACTTTTTACATATGCCCTTTCTTCCAGCTTCACAACGTTGATCATCATGCGGTCCAGTAGATTCTTTGTTTTCATCGGATTGATTGTCGTCTTGATTCTCGTCTTCATTCTGTATCCCGTAGAAAACATTCAAAATCCATTGACACATGCAGTCTAAGGCGAATTCAATATGATCTTCGTCAATCAGCCAACCTTGGCAAGACTTTTCGCATTGTCGACAACGTTGTTTTTCTATACGAATTTCAATTCTGCCTGTATTCCACTGAGCTTTCCAAACAACTGTTGTATTAGCAGATATCCACATTTTCTTACATTGATGGCATTTAAATCTGTTTTTCAGAAGAAATAAATGATAATGAGAGCTGAAAGATCTGCTCACCTAGCTGTTGCATTATGCGTTCAATAAGGCCATCCACATCGTGCATTCTTCTCCAAATCTAGCTTATGACTACTCACATTAAATGGCATTGGTGCAAGGTACCACTCAGAAAGGTCGTAATCATATAAGGCAACGTCAAACATTGACTCAATGGGTTTAAACCACATGTTCTATGTCATAGAAGGATTTCTATTCGAACTAACAAAAAACATGAAGGGTTTATAGACTGATTCTTATCTTGTTTTGTGACGGCGAGCTTGGTGTTATCTTTTGTAAAATAATCACATAGAAATTCTCTTCTTATGCAAATAATTGTTGAGTGACATCATTTTGATATTGGTATGAGATCCAAAAAAACAAGCGGGTTTGAATGCATTTATGACACATTTGCCGTTTACATAGATAACGTTATGTTCGTCGTTACTGGTAAAAGGCGGCTAATAATTATATGTCATTGATCAAACATTTGATTACCAGAATATGTGAAAAATGAGCAATTTTCAACATAAATTATTTATCGAACGAAAGAAGAATAAAATAGACATGTACTCCAGATTCTTTTCACCTCAAATACGAAAGTTGATAGGAACTCGAATTATTTGTGTACGTCCCATTTTTAACTTATTGTCTCAATTATGAATTAATCGTAATTTATTCTGCCTTTATCTATTGTTCATATTAGCGGGATTCGTGAGATATTACTGTGGAGTGCGATCGTGATCACGAAAATAATCAGGGTGAGGTTGTGGGTGTGGATATGGATATGGGGATTGGTGTGAGTATGATTTCTCTCTTTAATTGCACCCAAAACGTATAACCACATCATCTCCACCCAAACCCACATCCACCAACACCTACATCCACCAACACCCACAGCCACATCCACCCACACCCACACCCCACACCCACACCCACACCCACACCCACACCCACACCCACACCCACACCCACACCCCACACCCACACCCCACACCCACACCCACACCCCACACCCACACCCACACCCCACACCCACACCAATACCTACCCCGAACAGAACGAAAAAAAAATTTTCTGCGACGATGTGTCGTGTGACGAAGTGATTGCGATGAAGTGTCGTGCAACGAAACAATCGGTCACCGTATTACCAACACCTGAATCTCGCAATACTCGTTCTTTTATCGAATGAAATTCTTATTCTTGGTTACGAAAAGGATATGGGTGTGGATGTCAATGGTGAGAAGATCCATCCACACCCACCCTCTCTATCTTATTTCTATCAAAATTCATTCAAAAAATATCTACTAAATAGATATTTGTATAACCGTCATATATTATAGCAAAAGAACGTTATTATAATATTACTTAAACTATAATCAAATAGCATAGAAAAATAGAGCATCTTTTTTCTTGTTTATACAATAAATTATCTAAGTTATGGAAAAAAAACTAGTTGTCATTGAAAGCGGTAGATTTAATATAGTATATTTAATCTAGATATAATCAAATACGTTTGAGTGAATTGAGAATAATACTACCAGTATGTGATAATATTGGTGCATGCAAGTTACTTCGATTTTCAATGATTTGCTTTACACATGGTAGTAGATTGTTAAGAAATCGAACTTTATACATTTTCAGATGATGACGATGTTTTGCATTACTAACAAAGCCATCGACAGCAATCCAACCTTTTTCAAATGCTTCTTCTTCTTCTTTCATTCGAGGTTTGGGACATAAACTTAAACATTGACAATACACTGTTTGTTCATCAACCGTTTCAAAATAAAGAGTACCATTGAAGATAAATAACTGAACCAACCATTCAAGTGGTATGAGGAAAGGGACAGCGTCATTGGCATGTCCAAGTAACGGAGGAATTGTAAGAGCTGGAGTATTCACAAAGATTGATTGAATTCGTTTAATACGAGGTACTAGTGGACGTAATGTAGTCATCGATGGGCTGTTGAATTGTCGTTCATGATAAAGAAAGTTTAAACGACCTAACAACCAATTAGCTTCAAGAGCACTGACAAAAATTAAGTGTTGATTTCTGTATACTAGAATCCATCGTGGAGGACGTAAAAATGGATTTAATGATTCTCCTTTAGTCTTAATAACACGTTGAAATTCAGTGGAAATCCAAAGATTTGTGTGCCAATGCTCAGATTGGATATCATTAAAAAATGTTGTATCTGTGAAAGCATAGGGCAACGGACGAAATACATTAGGATATTGATTTAAATTCATAATATCACTATGCATATCGCACAAACGTTTAATTTCCTCATGTAGAATAGGTTCACATGGAATGGCAGGTGAAGGACGTTCTAACTGACGTTCTTCTTCTAACTCTTGTTCTAATTCTCTTTGTTGTTCTTCATCTAGCAATTGTGATAAACGTTGTTGTGTTCCACCGTAATCTTTTAGTCGTTTTAACACGACATCTTGAATTTGTTTATCTAAGTGATGAGTAAAATGTTGATATCGAGCATGATGTATTTCGAACACGGTTTGAAATTTTTTCGAAGCACCATACATACGTTTCAATTCAATAATTTCAGGTTCTAAACATTCTTTAGCCAATTCTGCCATGATCGTATCGGTAAAGAGTTGCTGTTGATCATTCCATCGAATATGTTGAAATGCAGATATTTTTCGTTGAAAACTTAAACTTTGAGCAGCCCAATGATGTAATCCATCCCAAGTTGCTTTTTGAGTATTGTCATAGACCCATCGAAGGATGTCAATCAAATTGATGAATCCATCGCTTTTTTTTCTTTTGCTTTCGATAATAAGTGAATTGTTTTTCAATGTTTTAATTTGTTGATCAACTTCATGTGAACTCCAGAATGTTAATGAATGACCATGTCCTAATTTTCTCATTCTCATACATGCTTGAACAAAACGATCTTTTGTTAAACCATTTCCTAATGTTACAGCGGCTTTAAATCCTACCGGAAATTTGAAATCAGTTCCTCGAGTATGAATTTCATCTAAATAAAATATGCAATGATCCAATCGTTCACTCGCAGGTGATGTTACAAATGGGCAATGATGACCTTGACGATCACAAACAAATATTGAATTACTGTCAAAATAAATAACATAATCGATTCGATTCTTATGAGATAGATTTAACCATTTAATAGCAATTTCTCGATTAGTTTCATCGATGAATAATGCTCCAACATCTAAAATAACATTTACCTCTTTGTAGTCGATAATTCGTTTTAAAATATTATCTGATGTTGCATTAATTACCAGAAATTGATAAGTCTCATTTTCGGGTTGTAATATATTATTAACCACAATTGCATCTGTTTTTTGAAGTTCTGGTAAATCATATTGACGAACATGAATAGGAAGTAATAATTGCGTATCATTAGTTCCACTAAATCCAGTGATAATTTTTGATCGTAATGATGACGATAAATCCCAAGCAGAAGAAACTAATTTATTTGGAAATTGTTTTGCTTCTCGGGGAAATACAAAATAATTTAGAAAATAATTAATCACTAATATATTATATCGAAAAATAGGAAGCAGATAAAGAGTTCGTTGTTTATAATCTTTTAAATTAACTCCATTCCATTGTTTAATACAAGTGGGTATGTCATTTGCATCTTCATATAGAATCCATTGATCATAAATCGATGCAGGATTCGTTTCTTCTTCATATAAACGATTGAAACATTGAGACAATTGTAAATTATTTAAACCTGAATAGTAATATGAAAGATGTGTTAATACTAAAGCAACATCTGGATGACCAAATTCAGTTCTATCAGCAACAACATCTTTGGCACGAAATGGTACAGCCATTAAACGATTAAAAGTAAGACTGAGATTAACACCATAATTAACTCGATATCGCTTTTTAAAAGCAACTAACAAAACTTCCAATGATAATAAACCACGAATAATAAGAAATAATTGAATATCAAGAAGTGGGAATTTATCAACGAGACATTCAATTGATGAATATGTGTCTAAAATAAATGATGAAATAATCGGTTTATCTACATAACGATAGTTTCTGCTATCGATCCAATCATTTGCAATTTGTTGACAGAGCGATTGAAATGGTTCATGGGATTGTAAACGAAACTGAGGAAAAGCACTTTTTCTTTCAGGCGATTTATAACACGTTTCTTTCTGAAAAATGTTTGATATATATTCAGCATATTTTTTAACTAAGCTAAGTATGGATTGAATGGTTTTCCATCTTTCTTCACCTCCATCAACTTGTTGTTGACCACCAACAGTATAAATTAATTGATATTTAACGTGTAAAATTTCATCAGATTCATCTAATACATCACGAACATAGGTTTTTAACCATCGTTGAATTGTTAACATAGAACGACCAACATCGAAGTCATTTCGTCGACATTTATCAATAGTTAGTAAATCAAATGAAAGAATATCTTCTGGTGAAGTTAATATAATATCACCATTATGTAATCCTTGTTCAAAACGTTTGCAAATCTGCTTGATTGTTTGATCATTAAAATCCATATCACGACGGCATGCAAATGGAAAAATACGTCGATTGAGTAAACCACCTAATTTATATCGTAATGATTGATAATTGGTTGGAAATAATGATTTAAGTACTATAATACGAACCAAAGTGGAATTAGCTGAAGATAAATTAACAGCTAACATAGGTAAAATAACAGATGTTTTTCCTTCACCCATATTCATTTGCATCACTATATTTTTTGCTGTTGAATCATCTGTTGTCATATTTGGTTGTATCATATGATTGGCTACATTTATTTGTATTTCACGAATAGTTATATTCATTTCTAATTCTAAGATTAACCAAGAAATATGTTCACATGGTTTCCAATTTGTATGTGGTATATGCGATATTTCTTTTTTAAAATCTTCATCTTTTCCATGAATGGCAAAGTGTAAACTTCGTTCCATTTGTTGTTCTAATGTCCAATTGACAATAACACCACCGAGTAGTGTGCATTGATTCTTAGTGAATTCAAATGAGACAGATTTTTTCAGATTTGAATCTGTTTCTTGAAGTAGAGGTATGAGAGTTGTTGGTGTGATTCGTAAAGCTAGACCTGTTTCAAATAATTTTTCATTGAATACTGTAATAGATTTGGTTAACTCATTCCATAAATTTGTGGTTGCATCTCGAAATAAATTGAGATGTTGAGTCATTTTTTCAATAGAAGGATATTCTTTTTCGTATTCACTGTCCAATAGTAGTTTTTCCCAACTTTCAGACAATTGTTTTTTAAAATAATTAGTAATTTCACTTGGAGGATTTTTTTGATTGTTGGTAGAAGGAAAAATTCCCTCTGGAAATGTTTTTTTTTGATGATTTGTTTGAATACATCTAGTTGATTTATTGAAATTATCTGAATTAACATGATGAAATTTTTGTTCTGCGATTCGTAAGAGTGTAGGGTCGATTGATTTATCTACAATTTTGATTCGTATTTGGTAATGATCTTTTAATGACTCCAGTAAAAACTGTTGAGGATTATAAGATACTCTGATATCAAATTTTTCTATTGGGACAGAACAAATAAGAGTTTGAACAGTATTTAAAAATAATCGAAGATTTTTGTTAGATCGCCAACAATTCAATAATATATTGATGGTATCTTTTTCAGTAGATGTTGCTATGTCATCAATATTTGGATATTCACAATTTTCTCTCCAACATCTTTCAACTTCTGGTATAATTAGAGTATTTTGACATCGATTACAGCGTTTTCCACTTGGGATACTCGTCTTTACAATTGAAACTTCTTGGATGTTCATATAAGAAATAAAACGAGGAAATGTAATGGACGTTAACGATACGGTAGGAGCCTTCAATGCTGTCTTTAACATTTGCAAATAATATGGTTTGATTTGACCTTTATCAGAAATATAATGAAGAAATTTTACTAATCCTTCGAATCGTTTTATGTCATCTGTATAGTTCCCAGCGGCTTCTCTTTTAATACGGTCGACCCATTTTAATAAGCCGACCCAAATGTTTTTCAATTGATTCTCTTCGTTGAACCATTTAGACAATGGTAACCAATGTTGCTGCGAACAATCTCTCAGGTCAACATTTCCCTCATTATATAGGTCATCCACAAGATCAATGACACTGTAGTTAATGTTATGAGAGCAATGTTCTAAGGCCGAACAATATTTTGCCGCTGACTTAGTACACAAGATATCAGCTTCCATCTGTGCAGATAATCTAGCGGTAGGATTGTATGAATCTCGATAGTCCCAATATAGTTTTCTCAATAACATTTCATTATACATTTTCCCTTGAAACAACGCCGGCATCTTATTTGTCGTTGATGACGGATACATAAAATTGAATAGTTGGCTACTATTGATTAATTGTTTTGCTATTAAATAATATCCGAAATGTTGCATCGAATAGGGTATACCATTGGAATTCCAGTCTATTTTTTTCATACAAGTGAGATGCTCGGGATAATAGTTGGCTTTGGGTGAAATAGATGCAATTTGCCCAAGAATATCTAAAGAAATTTCATCAAATGGTTGATCTGACCAACAGCCAGCTGAATATAATAATTGAAAGGCTCGTTCCATTCCAGTCATTCCAGTGTAGTGATCTGGTAAAGGATGAGACGTCATGGCATGTAGCAATGCTAAATAAAGCCATCCGGTAGGACTATCTGTCGATTGAAGTATTTTTAAACGATCATTTAGAATAAAAACAAAATATCGTTGAGATTTTACAGATGATCGATCTATTGTAACAGTTTGATGATTAGTATACTTATATCTTTTACCTTGAATTGTGCCAAAAGGTACGATCAATTTTTTATATGGATAATGATCCAATCTGTAATGATTGACTGGTAATGGTGATAAAAGAAGACCAAATGTTAAACCTGTTAATGTACCTAACCATTGATATCGATCGATGCACATATCTGAATATTCACGAGACGTTATGATATTCGTTGTAGCATCATATTTAAAAGCAATTCCTAAACGAGATAAATGGATATGAATAATAATATTAGATTGAGAACTGTGTTCGCCCATCATATAAACGTAAGGCTTGTTATCTAAACGTACAAAGTATTGAGTAAATAAAGTTTCAAACAATGTCGATGATTGATTAACTAATTTTTGTTTATTATTTTTATCAGTAGTAATAATATATCCCGTTTCTAATGATAGCACATAAGGTTTATAATCTAAAAAATCAGCTTCTTTAAAATGAATAGGTCGAAATTCGACTATTTGGCTTCTTGTGTTGAGCCAATGACTGTATCTGAAGACGAAAGTATCGGGCAGTTCTGTCTGGAAATGACAATGGGGAATCAATTGAAATGTCTCATTTGTCATTAAATGTCGTTCAGTAATTATTAAGTGCTTGATTTGTTCATTCAGATGAAATTCATATTGAACTTTTCGATCATCATGATACGAATGTTTAGTAATATAAGTTTTAGGTGATTCAGCCATTTGTACTTCAAAAATATGATTACCAAATACGCGTAGAAATAATTCATTAGTTGTAATGTTTTCAGGTAAAAATCCTATGGTCATGTTATCGACTAAAAACCTTCCTTGGACACAATCAATTGATATATATCTTGATTCATATTGACAATCATACCAACCATCATAAACATATTTGGTTCGTTTTTGCCATTGTCCATTCATAGTGCCTTTGCTTCTAATGACTGCCCAATAGATCGCAGCAAAATTATTTAGACTTTGATATGAAGTTTTTTGAAGAAATTCGGCAATTGTTGGCTGTACCGTTATTAAAACACGTTCGCTAAATCTCATAAGATTTCTCAAAAACCTACTCGTATTAGTTTGATTCTTGTTTAAAATTATATTATCATGAGTAGTAGTTGCCGCTTTCAGTAAGGACAGGACATGTTCATTCGTTGATAATAAACAGTGTATTCGATCTGAATGAGTTGAAAATGTCAATATACATGAAATACCTATAGTTACCATTTTAAAACGGAGGTTTTCCGTTTCATTAAAAGCTGAAGAATATATAGATTGATTAGTCTCTGAAATAAGGTCAATCCATTTTTCACCAATTCTACGACATTTTATTGCTAAATTAGCAACCTCATGTTCTCGTGTGGCATTACAAATTGTTAATATTCTCATTGTAATCATTATAATTACTACTAATACTAATTCGTTTTGCCAATTTAATTCGCAATCATTTAAACGATGATCTAATCTTGTAATCAGTTCATCGACAAAATGATCTTCTAATAACTGTTCATGGGTTTCCGAACACCAAGAATCACAGAGTGAACTTCGGTCGCTTACCAGTGGTCCATATTGCAATATTGAATGTTGAATTAGAACTGCTACACTTTCTTCAGCAATCGATAGGGAATCCATTTCAAGCACTGCTAATAAGTTCCACCATTGTAAACGATGACCTGATCGAAATGAACCAAATTCTACAAATTGCGTAGGTTTTAGACGTGGCGGGCACTCACATAGTTTAGCAATGACATCATTCTGTACAAATTGTGTGTCATTTATCGTAAATTGCAATTTTTTGTAATCTGAATCATCAAGTTGAGGTGTTAATATGCGACATTCATCATTGAATTCCATCGGTTTTGTTGGCGAGATTTGAACCGTCAAGCTATTCTCGTACAAAAACTCATTGATTGATGCAGTTGCAATGGATGGTGGATAGGAATAATGACTTTGCGTTACAGACTTTTTGGACGACACTAGTTTTACATTACAGTTATTTGGATCGATGTAGAATGGTTGTAACTTATCTTTATGAGGAGGAACATGTAACCATTCATACATGTTATGTGGTGGACGCGGTTCTGGACGATTGATAAATTGCCAGATGATATCACGATAACTCCGAATTTCAATAGGCATTTGCAGTTCGAAAATAACGGCGTACGCGCGTTCAGGTTCGGATGGTAATGGACATTCGTAAATTTGCACTTTAATACTGTCAGCTTCCTTCTGAATTCTACATTTTTCACATTGATGAAAATACCGTCGATAACCATAGTATTCATATCTACATGCACAAGAACGATTTTTAATTGAATCCATAAGACGTGTATATTTTTCTTTCTCCTCTTTGACTTCTTGTAATTTCCGTTGCTTATCCAATTCAGCCTGAGCTCGAATTTGCTTTATACTATCATTCATCTTCGCTGACTGGGAGGCATAATATACACCAAATGCATTGGCACAGTCTATATTTGTTAAAAGATCGGGATAAGATTTATTACTAAATTCATGGAAATAATCGTATAGATCACGAACTCGATTCATATCTTGTCGATTGGGTAAGACTAAAAATTTGAACAGTTTCATAAGATTTGGAATATAAATTGAATGTTGTTTCAGTCGTTCAAATTTTGGATCATTACATAACTTTTGATGCATGCAATGAATAATCGTTAAAGATGTTAGTATAAATCGACTATAACCCATCGGATGTGTTGAATCTTTAGCTAAATAATAATGATTTAGTGCTGCATTTTGATAATCTTCAAAAAAGTGTAATAAAGTTTCGAAACGATTTCTTTCGTTTTGAGATGCCGAAGGGCGATTAATCCATTGGTTTAAATGTAATTCAACCCACAATTCTATGCAATTCAAGGCTATCGCAATAGTATACTTGAATTTTTCTGTCAATTCTTTAATCGACGGCATGTTATCATTTGAAGTAACGTAACTGAATTCATCGCGATTATTAGAACCTGAAATAACACCAAATGTTTGACCCAAGTTTTGATTATTTAGATAAGCTTTTAATCCATGATAGGAATGCTTGTAAATGTCAAAATCATTCAATTTGAAGTTATTCATCAATAGTTGATTTTTTTTTTCTTCATCGGATTTAATGGAGTTTTGCCAGTCTGAATTTGGAAGAATTTGATTAATTTTCATTTGTATTTCATGTTTCCTGCACTGTACCCATTTGCTAACATTATTTGATTTTATAGACAATAATAAATTTTCAATTTTATTTATTCGTCGTACAATTTTTCGAATGCAATGAACTAATAAATCAATGCGTATTGTACGATACGTTTTCACAATAACTTCTACAAGAAAATGCGTGATCAATAATTTATAAACAACGGTTCCGGCGTTTCCCAAATTTTTGGCTAAAATAGTATGAAGGACTACTTTAATAGTCATCCATAGGCCTGAACGTCGAAAAGGTAACAATGCATTATTCCATCTAATCTGATCACGATGTTTTTTCTTAAATTGAATAGAAGTATTGGCGTTGTTTTCGATTACAATACCTTGAAACTGTTGAATCCACCATTGACATACATAATGTGATTCCGGTACGTTACGGATTTCATTAAATTGACGAGAAGCTTTATAAGATTTGGAATATTCAATGGTGTTGCGCATAAAATCCACCAACAATTCACAGTGAGCTTGGGTGCTCAACTGAGATCGATCATTTAATCTGTATGTTGTCACTGGAAAACAAGAAAGATGAGGAACAAGAGAAGAAGTAATTTCTGCAGTTGGTAATAAGACTTGCCAGGATGAAACTAATGGTTGGTGAATATTGTTTTCTTCAATTTCAATTAGAATTGCAGCATTTTGAGCATGGAAATACAGTGGAAGAAAACTTCCTGGAGTTAACTCCGTAATAATGGATTGTAAATTCGATTCAGTAAAGTTTTCAGGATTCTGTAAGACAGACCAATTTTTAACGCAATGACTAAGCACTGATAATATTGGCAACTTATTCGTATCATTTGTTGATTCGAACAGATTCAAATATTCTTTCACGTATTCTAATATCATGTGTTCATATTGATGATTGTTTTTAATTAAATCATCATCGTCAGCAGAAGAAGGTAGATAATGTGGAAGGAACAAATGATTTAATATTGATTCATTCATTGCTTTTAATCGTTAGAACATGTTGTTACTAAGGATGATATTTTCTACAAAATAAATAAAATCATCAGCGTTCAAATACAAAAATTAAAATAGCTCCAGTATCATTAGATATAATGAATAATATAAGAGTTAGTTGTACAAGCGGCAACAATAGTTGTGTTAAAAACTTATCTTTATACTTGAAAAAATATAGTGGGTTTTTATAGTACGTATTTAAATAGCTATCATAACTAAATACCCAGTCAGACACAGTTGATAATATAATTGGGTTGTTGCACCTAAATATTTGTGCTTTTTTAGTTCGCAGAAAAGTATGTTATCTTTTCATTAAAAAAAAGCACGTCTGGATATGATAATGCATACACTCGTGTTTCTTATAAAAACAAAAATCTTCTTTTTCTATTGTTTTTCTTCGTCAAAGCATACATTGTAATGCATTTAAAATCGAAAAACATTACACACCTGTAGATCTCACGAAAATGAGGGCGTACTTCTACCAAAAATTGAAAATTATTCATTATTAAGTGGCAAGACCAATACAGTTTTGATATTTTCTGGTAAAAAATTTTGAAAAAGTGCACAAACTTTCTCGCGAAGTAAAAAGTAACTACATGACTGTACTGGCTCTGAAAAGATTTGTGGCTTTCTAGGTGGGTGCGGGCGTGTGAGTGTGAGTATCGGTGTGGGCGTGAGTATGAAAATTCTATTCCCCTACAATACGCACAGCACCCACCCTCACCCCCACTCACACCCGCACCCACACCCACACCATTCAAATCATGAGTAGACAGTGATCTATTTTTATTGTTTCTAGTATTCGTTGAATAGGATTCTTTGTCTGAGTTTGTTGGTTATTTTCCTTTTCAGATTTATGTCAGTTCATTCCCGCTACTTATGTAACAGCTGAAAAAAACTTGAAAATTATTTTATTTAGTTTAGTTTTGTTCAAATCATACTGACGTTCATAATGATGCAGACGACCATGATAGCTTTTGTGATGTTTTAGGATTTTAAAAACGTTAAATCGAGTTGCTAATGTTTATGTGCTATTCCAATGTGTTGTACTCAAGGGGGGAAAAGCGAGACTCACTCTACTTCAAAAAAAAAATTGGAGTACAGCTGGAGTACAGTTGGAGTACAGCTGGAGTACAGTTGGAGTACAGCTGGAGTACAGTTGGAGTACAGCTGGAGTACAGCTGGAGTACAGCTGGAGTACAGCTGGAGTACAGTTGGAGTACAGCTGGAGTACAGTTGGAGTACCGCTGGAGCACAGCTGGAGTACAGCTGGCGTCCCGNTTGGAGTATAGCTAGAATCTACCCAAACTACAGCTCCAGCACAGTTTGTGTACAATTATACTGTAGTGGAAGTAGAGCTTGCACTTTAACTTTAAACTTAAATAAAAGTTAAAGAAGTGCACTTTAAACTTTAACTTTTAAAATGAAAGTGACCATGCTTTACACTAACTCTAAACTTTTTAAAGTTAAACTATACGTTTTCCTATGAAATAAAACTTTTTTTAGAAATTTATAAAACTAAATAAACATTTATAAAAGTACCTACAACTCTCTATCGGTAGCATATTGGAGCTATCTATAGGTGATACTTTGTAAAGAGCATATTCATAGGTCATTCACTACGATTTAGCGATGCTATCCATAAGTTATCAGTTGTTATATAAGAGGGACAGTTTTAAATAGCTCGAGGACTAATATATAACTCGTTACTTATCGACTATCTGCTACCATATAATTG